TAATTGTGAAAGGGGACAAAGATGTTTTCCTAAGCACCTTTGAATAGACCATTTGTGCGACAAATGCGGCAGTCATGTTCCTGTGTACCAGACGGGTATTCTCCAACAAACACGTATGTTGCTCAACCCTTGAAGCTACTGTTAACAGTGAAATTTGGTAAGCCCGAAGTCATCATCGGCTTCAGAGTCTTGGAATCGGTCGATGGGAGTCGTCAAGTCACCAGCAGTTGTGTTCTTAGTGGAGTCGGATCAATTAAAGGGAATTTATCTAGAAGAGTCTGAGTTCAAGGAGGATACGGCATGGCAAGTATCTATTAATTAGGAATAGTTTGTTAGTTCCTTTTATCTTTAGGAAAGTGTGTTTAGTGTCTGATAAGGACTTTTCCTTTTATCTTTAGGAAAGTTTCTTTTATCTTTAGGAAAGTTTCTTTCTTGTCCAACAAGGACTAGTATCTCCCCATGGGTATAAATATGTACACACGGGGTCATTGTAATCTATCAGAATCTCTCGATCAATACAATTACTCTCGGCGCATCGCCACCCTCTTCCCTGAGGTTTTTACTTATCAACCGGCGGAATTTGGCACCTGACGCGGGGCTGCATCGGTTCAGTTTGATCTCCAGCGAAGGGGTAAGTCCTATGTTCCGCCGGCCTTGGTGAATCTATTGGCTACGTTGGTGTTGTTCAAGACTGCATCACTTCGATCTCTTGGATCGCTCTGGTTTGGTTGATATATTTGCCTACCTAATATCTTAATTCTATCTCCAATTGCATTGTGTTTAGAGACACATCGGTTTAGTTGGGACTGACTCGGTTAGGTCCGATCTTCTGTCTTAGCCGATATATCTCTAGAATCACAATGTTGTTCTTAATAGATTTTTTATATCCATCACATTAGACAGATCTATCGACTCATCGAGTATTAGATTATCATATACAATCTCGTGATGCATCGGTTAGGTTTGACCTACTAGATTGTTGTTGATAACATAAGTCTTGTTAAGCCGATAGGTTCATGCTAGTGTTTTATCGGGGTGCTAGCCGATAGGGTTCTAAGTAATCGAATATGATAGAGCTAGTTTCAGACCGTATTCGATAGACAATCGGCTATTATCGGCTATCGGCTGTAACTACTCCATCGGCTTATCAGCCGATCGGCTATTTGATCTGTTGTTTAAATATCTTGTCAGTTGCAGGATCAAACTGACTAGCACGCCCGCATCTCATCAAGATTTGGACCTGCACTGGAGCTAAGCAGATCTCCCAGGCCAGTGTTTGTTTTTCGCATCAACAGCTACCCATAAATTGTCATGCTGTGGCTTGCAACCATGCACTCTCCAAGGACAACCATGCTTTGTGCATTTCACGTCGTACGTCGTCCTATTTGAAACCTTCACTCTAAACTCACGTTTCTGTACAAATGTCCACCTCTTCACCGCATCTTGTAAGTGACCTTTGTCATGATACATCTGTCCAACTTGCACATAATTACAATCATAACACCAGTGGGAATCTAAACCATCGTTAACCCTCATATGACTCATCGATATGGTCGTCCAAGCATCAGGTATGTTGGTTTCGTTGTCCCACTGTGTTGTATCTTGGACTTCCACTACAAGCGCAATGTATTCATCATTTTCCACTTCCATCTGATCCACTACCGCCTCATTCTCCTCTGCTGCGTCAACACGTAAAGGTGAATCCGGTTCTTCGTCATCCGAGTCGTCGGCCGAACGATTACTTTCACGAACAATGACCTCTGGCGGTGCATTAGCCTCTACTACTGCTTCCCCTTGTCCTTGATCAGTCTGCCAAACATTTTCCGCTTGTGCACCTCCCATTGGAGTTTCTTCCACCTCGGCATGACTTGACTCCCCCGATCAATCAACATATGTTGTCTTCTGCAGAAGTATTGCCAGGCTATACCCTTTCTCCCTTACTTTACTAACAAACTTCCTCCAACTCCTAGTTGATGCAACCTCCACTACTACTCTCCACTGCCATCCATGTTGACCCCTTACTGGCCACACAGCTTTTATGACAAATTTCTCGAGTAATGGATCTAACCCAAACATATTATACAACCACCCTAACACGTCGTTCAAACCCATATGCTCCGGTGCATTCAGACTAGTATCAAGAAAGGCATATACAGTCAAATCCACCCCGCTATCACATATTTGTATAGGAGCATCGCCATAATACAGACGAATGGGCATATCACCAGACATCCTGATAAAACATGACAAATTGTCTTATTATACGGTACTGACTAACAACTATCTTACCCTAACGTATAATAATTTAAGCCGTCGATAATTACGATATTTCAACTAACAGTACATTGCCATCTACTAAGTTAGAACTAATATTAACAGATAACTAATTTAATAATCCTACTAAAATGTAATAACTTCTACCTATAATATATGTACTACCATGTACTAACTTAGAACTAATTCTAGCATACGACTAATTTAATATCTCTACTAACATTTAACAATGGTAAATGTTAACAAATCATGTGATACGTAGTAACATTGAAAAATGAGAAACAATTAACAAATCACAAGCCTTATTCTCTCAGATTAAAAATTCGTAAGCCTCATACTTAGGATTAGAAATGTATACCTTAATGTCGCTTCTTCCGACCGTTGCCTTTACTTCCCTCCCGGCCGGCGCCTCCCCGGCCTAGCCTCCGGCCGGCCACAGCCTCCCCTCACTCCCTCCGGCGCGCACGGCGACAGCAGTGGCGGCGATGGTGATGTGGTCCTCTCCAAAATCGATTTGGACCACGCTCGGCTGGGGGAAGCGATTTAAAGGGGCCTGCTGAACACCCATTGTTCGACATGGGTGGTGGATGGACCACATCAAGTGACTTTAGGGGTGATTTTTGCAATTTTCCCAAACGAATATGATAGAGCTTGCAAAAACCACCCCTAAAGTCACTTGAAGTTTGACATTCCACCCCATAAGTCATTTTGTTGCAAATGCCCACCCACCTACTCAATTTTGTTGCAAAAACCACCCCGGTAAACACATGCTTAACCGAATCAACATGTTTTTATAAATTGTGAGCCATCAATATGGTCTTTACCAAAACTAAATACTTCTAGAGTATTCTTGATACATTTTTTTGTGAGATTCCACAAATAAAATTATTGACGAACATTGTTGCACTGAGTTTTGCTATATGCAAAAAAATAATAATAAAATATGGAAAATAAGTCTAATGCAAGCTCTTAGACAAGATTGACTTGGCTAGCTTGTGGTAACCCTACATTAGCAATAATGAATTGATTCGGTTAAACACGTGCGCATTGGGGTGGTTTTTGCAACAAAACTTAGTAGCTGGTGGGTATCTGTAACAAAATGACTTATGAGGTGGAATGTCAAAATTGAAGTGACTTTCGGGGTGGTTTTTGCAATTTTCCCTATTCGTTTTCATTTTTTTTTGAATCGTAATCGGAATCGGAAATCTGGATATGAAAAATGGAATCGAATATTATCGAATACAAATACGGAGCAAATACGAAGCGAAACGAATACGGTGATAGATATTAATCGGAATATAAAAACCCCTCACTACTACATAAAGGATTTTTGTGTACGAGACCCTATGATATTTGCAAACGGACCACAACTTGTCGAGTCTAGAAAAATCAAGCGGCATTTTCGCATACCACTCCTTAAGACGCCAAAATGAGGTTATTTTTGCATGCGGACCACTTAATTAAGAGCCTGCATGGAAAAATCGATTTTTCCATACAGGTGTCTTAAGGAGCTGTATGCGAAAATAAAATTTGAAACTAGTTTATCTCACTCATATGAACTCCAAATTGGATGATTCTTTTTCCTAAATGTTTCTAAAATCATGCTCTATCTTGTTATTCATGTTATTATTACTATTATTTTGGCCATTTTTCTTGTGACTTTGTTTTATCAATTAGATATTTGAATTTCAAAACTTCAAATAATATTTTGAAGCAGTAAATAATTTAAGCTGAAAAAGTCATGAACATAAAAGTTGTAAAACTCATCAAGACATACAACTTTTATTTTGGTCATTTCTTCATCCGACAAAGTGATAATAACATTGTTCATAAAATTTACATCAGTCATTTGGTTTTATAATCTATAAGAGAGATATGTAAATTTTATGAACAATGTTACTGTCACTTTGTCGGATGAATAAATGATAAAAATAAAAGTTATAGATCTTGATGAGTTATACAACTTTGTTATGGATGACTTTTTCAGTTGAAACCATTTACTATTTAAAAATATTGTTTGAAGTTGTCATATTTTCAAATTTAAATTCCAACTTTTCAAACAAAGTCATATAGAAAAATAACCAAAATAAAAGTTGTTGATCTTGTTAAGTTATACAACTTTATTGTTGAAAATTTTTCCATTTGAAATCATTTACTACCCGAAAAATTATTTGAATTTATTATATTTTAAAATTCAAATTTTATATAGTTCAATCAAACTCGGATGGAGAAAGAACCAAAATAAAATTGGTAGATCTCAATGAGTTCTGCAACTTTGTTTTTGACAACCTTTTCATATGAGTTCATTTAGTATTATAAAATTTATTTCAAAATTCATTTTTGCTAAAAAGTCTGATTTGCCTCCTCTTTGGTTGGGCTGGCTTATGGGCTATAACAGCCTTATGTGTAAGTCGGTCTCTAGTGGAAAATTTCGGATAGTTTCCGATAGATATCACCAATATCATATTCATTTTTATATCCGAAAAAATATCCGAATTCGTTTCCGTATTCGAAAATTTCCGAATATATCCGAACAAAATTATCCGTATCCGAAAAAGGTCCGATCGGACGAAAATTATCCGAATCACTTTCAACCCTACCTGGATGCATATGGGCATATCATGGTCCTAAAACAGATGTTGCAAAAATAAAAAGAAAAAGAAAAGAAATGGCATATGGATACCAAAACAGATGTTGCAAAAAAAAGAAGAAGCGTGGCAGACATGGAACGGCAAAACATAATTCATTACACTGCAAAGCTAGTTAACATGAACTACACAGTATAATTTATTATGCAATATAATTTATTGCGGTTTTCCAGGGCAAAGCTTAGTACACAAATAAGCTGTTACACATAAGGGGAATAATTTACTTTTCTTTTCATCCTCCCAAATTACCAGTATTCAAATGCCACTCTCCCAAAATTTCATTCCCAAATGTCATTTAGACCCATATGTCAGCCTTGCACATCATTTGGTCTCACATCACTTTTGTTTAAATGGAAAAAGAGACTGACATGTGGGTGATATTTGAGAATGAAAATTTGAGAGTGGCATTTGAGCAATGGCATTTTTTTGACGATGGTCTACAGTTTTGGGATCAAAGGTGATTCATGGGGATTGATTTGGGGAGTCAACCTCCCGCGACTTTGGGAAGACGATCTCCAACGACTCTATATATTCGCAAACTCTGGGAAAATGGCGAAACTTAAGCAGAGCTTCAGCCCTCTCTTGCTCATCGAACCCATCGCAGTATGGGCCACAATATATTTTCTCATATTTTGAAGCACCCTCGTTGGATCTGTGAAGAGCCTCTGCATTTTGCTTGAATATCTTGAACCGGTGAGTCATCTCAGCAAGGTCACGCTTCTTATCGTAAGCCTTGCACCAGCGCTCATACAAGGCCCATATAGCTTCATCAGACTCAAAATCCTTGTCCGTAAAATCGTCACCAGACTCATCAAAATCCGTCAAAAAGGCACCTGGATCAGGACCATCATCTATCACAATAGAACAACATTAATACTGTCAAGAACAGCGAGTTGGCTTGCAAGTTTCAATTCGGTTCCTTTGCGAGCACAGATGTAAAAAAAAAAAAAAAAAGAGTATCCTGCCTAATTTGCCCCTGCCCTGATGATGGCAATCAGAAGGCCCGTAATAAGATTGGGGGGATTGGCTTACCTGATGGCTCGTAGTCGTCGAGGTAACATACCGCGTGTGCGGCGCGAGATGCGGCGACGGCGGCTTGGCGTGCTGCGCGACGTGCTGCGACGGCCGCCGAGCGTGCACAAGGACGAGACGCGACCGCCGAGGAGCGCGCGGCACGAGATGCGGCGGCCGCGGCTAAGTGGGCGGCGGCTCGCGCGGCCGATACGTCGCGGGCGAGCCACGCCACCAGCGCCGCCGTTGACATGGCGAGGGATAATCGATCGAAGAAGAACAGTAAACCCTAGTTCCCAACCCGTCCCGGCCGACTGCTCCGATTGGAGTATATAGAATGCCTCATCCTCTGTATACCTGAGTTTTTTATTTGGATCCCTTTTATATCTATATTATGAGTTGACTATTAATTGACCGTTAAAATTATCCTCTAAAATAACTATATTGCCCTTCGTTTGTACTTTATGCTTTTCTCTACTATTATAAAAATTTAAGATGTTTTTGTCAAGATTTTGATACATCATCCGAATCCTTTTACGATTTCTAGATCCTTAGCTATACTTTTTTAAAAAATGATTATCTACTCATTATCCTTTTGTTTGTCATCCGACTCTGTTTCCATATCAGTTCACAATGCACGCGTGGTACTGTGGTAGGTGTCCGACTCAGTCCACGAGAACACGATGGGCGCGTGATCAATTCGGAACGGCCCAGCGTGATCAATTCGGAACGTTTGTAGGTGTAACGTATCGATGAATACAAAGCCCATCTTCTCATCCTACGTAACACTGTTCTCACGTTCATATTTGTTTGAGTTTGATTCAAAAATTTTCCACACATCCAAATGCAAAACGCATCGATTTCTTAAACACGCGGCTCTCATGTATGTATGTTTATTTTGTGTAACTGCAATATACTCATACTGTGCACATTCTTTTCACCAAAAACTGAATGTTGTTTTTTCGACATGTGATATCCTCCAGCTATTTAATTAGGATGTAATGATTTTTCGGACGCTCATCATCATAATTCTAAATTGTGATGAAAATTACCCACCAATGCTAATAAATGAAACCTTAGATGCCAAATTTACATATTCATAGAGACACATTTTAACAGTCTTGTTATCAGTCTGGTGCAAACGGATGCTTGTAGCATGAGATAGTATGGAGAATATAATCACAAAATATTCCACTTCCACCTAAATGGTGATTTTGTGCTGTACAAAACAAAATTTGGATCAGTGATGAATCATAATTCTAAATTGTAATTTTTTTTCTTGCAATTTATTATCATCTCTATCGAATCCGATGCGATGAGGTCATGGTAAATGGATCTAAGATAGAAATATGACGAGTGGCAATATGTAGGCCATAGATATTATGCCACTAAACCCAGTTTGATATGGTGTGAGAGCTTTTTTTTCCTACAAAACCTTTAAGGATGTTGAACTTTGGTGGACATAAAACAGACCATTTCAAACAAGTTATTACAAGGTCCACCTGAAAAATATGTCTTAGATAAAAAAATTAAACCATAATTTAATATTTAGTGCAATTTTAGTTTTTTTCCGTTGCAACGCACGGGCATTTAGCTAGTTAATTTAAAAACATAAGTCTCGTTATAAAAAAAGCTTAATCTAAAAATCAAAGAGGGACATGATTATTAACATCGGATTTCGGAAACAAAATTAATTTTTCAAACATTTTTTTAAGATAATGAAATCCAAAAAATGTTTTATTCGGAATTCGAAAAACCAAAATTTTTTCTTATTTGGGTTTAAATTTCAGCGAAAATTTTCAATAACTTTCATCAAATCTCATTTGAAACTTATTTCAAAATCTAAGTTTTAGATTAAGTAATTATAGCATGTTTGTTTCTATAAACGAATCAACTTTTACGTTGAGAGCCATGTTTTTAATCAACTACTCCGTACTAAGTAATAAGTAAGACACATGGGTAATATAGACATATTTGAAAAAATCTAATGGTTAACTGACCGTCAACTCACTAAATAAACATATAAGGGATAAAAATGAAAACTCAAGGGTACGTAGGGGGCAAGGCAAAATTAGGCGCAGAAGGGATTAGACAAAAATTTATGAGTACGTAAGGGATTTTCTGTAATAAGAACCTAAAGAATCACCGTTCTCCAATGTCAAAAGTAGTTGAGCTGTTGATGACCATTAGAAGAGATAATACATCTGGATGTGGATTTTCATCCCTCGAGGGGACATCCTCTTTGCATGTCATCTAAATAGTTACCATAAAAATTGAAAAAAATTAACAACATAGATTAATACAAAATATATCACTCCACAAACATACAAGACCAAATTCAACTTCTATAAGTTGCAACAAAAATAACAAATTGAATTGAAAATAGTTATGGCACATTCACAACTATATTTGTTATTTTTGTTACAATTGTAGAAGTTGAATTTAAACTTGCATGTTTGTGGAGTGATATATTTCATATTAATCTATGTTAACAATTTATTTTCATATTTTTTGATGACTATTTAGGTGACATGCATGAAACGAGAGGATATCTCCTCGAGGGATGATTTCACTTTCCTAATCTGATCACATCAGTCAGAAACAAACCATGAATTGCTCAAAAGCCCTTGTGCAATAATCCCATCATCACTTGCCAAGTTTCCATATATCATCTGAAGCAACAACAGATGAGGCCGTGTTTTTTTTTGAAACCGAACAGATGAGGCCGGGTTGCTGATGCAGAACTCTGAACAAAGCTGAATCTGAAGCATCCATGCATTTGCAGCAAAGATAACAATTATCTGAACTCCCCCTTATGTCCAGGATCTTCCTGAGTTCATCCAGCATGCTCATCCCGCTGATCTTGATACTTCCAACAGCTGCATCACATTCAGACAATTTCAAGTGCAAATTAATGTGGATTGCCCCAGATGGATCTTGGTCATCTCCAGCTAGCTCTCTTAGGTAGAGCGTTATAAACAAACCTTGCTGACGGATGAGAGATAGATGGAGCTCAGACACTTAACACAAATCTTTATGTGGTACTTGCTTAAAGGAGTTATACTAACTAAGGACAATTTGGTAAGACGAAATTGGAATGGCAGTTTAAGATGTTGTTTTTTAATGAAAAATGAGACCATTTAACATCTTTTTATAGACTGTCATTATGCAAAATTTGTTGGGGGAGCTGTACAGTTCTCTTTTGGTTTATACCTTCATACTACCATATCTAATATGTTTGATGGTTGGCTTTTGGGGTAGACAAGAAGATGACTAAACTCATACTTGTAGGAGCATCTGCCACATGTTGGGCTCTGTGGTTGAGTAGGAATGATATGGTTTTTGACAAATCACCATCTATCTCATATATGCAGGTAATTTTCAGGGCAACTTATTGGCTCCGGTTTTGGGCACAGCTGCAAAAGTGTGAAAATGATGGAGAGCTTATGAAGGTTGTATGTCATAGGCTTGAGACGACGGTTATGCAACTCTTTGCAAACTATGGATGGAGATTCACAAACAGACTTCAATAAATGTGTTCCCCTTATCTTGGTTTGGTCTTTTTATTTTGCTGGGTGTGTTTAATTTCGTTTGAACTACACATTTTATTAGAGTGATACTTTGTAATAATTGGCTGTAGCTCTGATGAGCAAAGGCCGGGATGTTTATTCCATTATCTAAAAAAAAGACACTTAACACAACGAACAAAATGGTATATATCAAAGTCACGTTCCAACTTTTTAGCGATAGGGTTTTAAGCTATCGGCTATAATTCTGATGTAGATTCTGACACTTGATGTAAATAACAATATAAAGGCAATCGACAGATGATAATGTAAGAAAGCAATAATATAATCCAATAGAAACCAATCGGCTAACAATAATATGATAGGACAATTATTGATCCGAAGGTTAAAGCATACATCGGCTAGAGGACCGATGTAATAAAATCCACAGGATTAGATAAACAGTAAAATCTTTTGTCGCGATCAGCTAAATCCAACTTGTATGCAATCCTTGTAAACCGATACAACGTCTAGATAACTTATCGGCTAGCACCTCGATAAAACACTAGTATGAACCTATCGGCTTAACAAGATTTATATTATCAATAACAATCAGTAGGTCGGATCTAACCGATGCAGCACGAGATTATATATAACTTGTATTATATCATGTTATGGACTAGGTATAATTCGACCTGTGTTCCCACTAATTGTTCTTTAATATGTCGGTTTGTTTAAACGACCCACACCAAACACTGAAGTTTCATATTGATACAATAGGAAAAATACAGGATTATAACTCGGAAGGTTATAACCAGGAAAAAAACAAAAGCACACCACAACCACACAACATGTAACTGGTTTTCCTGCTTTCTTCTAATATATTGACGTGCAATCTGTTTGCATGTTTGAAAAAAAAAATAGGTGTCAAAATTGCGGCTACAGTTGAGAGTTGTTCAGGAGAGTCCAGAGTTCAGACAAAGGAGATTTATAAGGTAGCAGCAGCTCATATATACGTTAGACTGCAATGTATACAGAGTCATCTCATAGGGTAATCTTAGCTGATTAGAGACACTAATTAATCCTAACAGTAACAGAGGTACGTAGGATGCTTGGTCCTGCTCCTGCATGTGGAAATTTCGGCAGCAAAACACGCCGCGCGGCGCCTGCTCGCCTTCCTCCTCGTCGTCGTCGCCGCCTGCAACCAGGCCGAGGCTCGCCGCGGCGCCGTCGTCCTCGCCGGCGCCCCTCCGGTCAGCACGCCGCTCGCAACGACGCAGCCGCGGACGCTGGACTGTTTCATGAGTCAGCAGGGATTCTCGGCGGTGTCGCGGCTGCATGTTCTCTGTGGAGAGGCGCCGCGTGGACGCTGAATTTTTTTTTTAAAAAAAGTGAATATTAGGGAAGAGTCCAATACTCCCTCCGTTTCAGGTTATAAGACGTCAACCTGCTTGCTTTAAGTTTGACCAAGTTTATAGAAAAAAATAATAACATTTTAATTTCAAGACAAATTTATTATGAAAATATATTCAATTATTGAATTGACGAAAACTAATTTAGTATTATAAATATTATTATATTTATCTATAAATAAAATTAAACTTGAAACAGTTTAACTTTGATTCAAAATGTGTTGGAGGGAGTATCAAACAAATAAAAGGAGTGATGTTTCGAACCCAAACTTGACCCCTAGGCTGAATTTCTCTGTCAACCCGTTCATGTGTGTTTCGTGCGGAAAGTTGGTGTGCGTGGAGAGTTGGTGAGTAGTACGAATTGTGTTGTCCTAGCCCAATGCGCTATGGCTCGAGTCCGATATGGACTTGTCAATGGACTCTATAGTCCATACGGCCTATATATGCTGCAGCCTTCCCTGCACCGGCCTCTCTCCGTAGCCTCAGCCGCCGCATCGCAAGCTTTACTCTTTCATAACAGGTTGGTTATATGTTTCTTCTATTGTTTCTCGTTTCGATTTTTGAAATATTATTTGCCTTTGAGTCAAGCGTACGTAATTTCACCATGTTATCAGACAAGATACATTCTAATACTATATATTTAGATAGATCTCATATCTAGATTCGTATTAATTAATAGAATATGTCTGCTTGATACTACTCCCTCCGTCCCATAATATAAGAGATTTTGATTTTTTGTCTGTACCATTTGACCACTCGTCTTATTCAAAAAATTTGTACAAATATAAAAAACAAAAAATTGTGATTAAAGTACTTTGAATAATAAAGTAAGTCACAAATAAAATAAATAATAATTCTAAATTTTTTTTGAATAAGACGAATGGTCGAACAGTGTAAGTAAAAAATCAAAATCCCTTATATTATGGGACGGAGGAAGTAGTTGCTATTAGTGTTTTATAACAGAGAGTGTAGGATATAAGATTGATCGATGAAATCAAGTTAAAGGTCGGCCTTTGATCTGATTTGAGCACGATTACTCCTAATTATGTATATAGCACTTTAATTCATAGCTTACCAGATCTACACGATTACTCCAAATTATGTATATAGCACTTTAATTCATAGCTTACCAGATCTACAATGTTATGTACTATCTGTCAATCGAATACAGAGTCTCCATATGAATCTTGGGACACAATCAGGCTTGTAGATGTTCACGTAATGCTTATCGTTAGCACTTTTTTCCACTACAAATGCAGGATGCCTCGACTTGGAGACCCGGATGCAAATGATATATATAGAGTGGTTTTGGAGCTTGGGTATCTCACCTCCATCGTCTTGGGAACTTACGAATATCGGAAATTTGACAGATTTCGATTTCCTGATAATTTTGATACACTTTCGTTTGTAGGAGGCATGATTCTGTTTGGATTCAACTCAATCTTATTAGTTCTAGACAAAATTGATTCACCTAATGCACGGCCCTGGGGCTTTAGGAGAATATAACTGTGGCTTAATTTAGGATTGTTATAGTAGTATAAGCAAATGTTAATTATGTATGAGTACAAGTATTTTTTTTAATATAACTTTTTGTATTATGTATGAGCTGCATGTATTTTCAACCGTTAATTCGGATGACCAATAGTCCAGGTATATTGTTACGATGTATCGGACTACTGATTACATAAGATTTTTTTAAGATAATAGAATAAAATCCCGGCCTTTGCTCATAGAGCTACACACTGATGACAAGACATAAGGGAAGTTCCATAAACCATAAACCTATTAACTATTGTATAGATTAGTTGGGTAGTTAACTAGAGCGTTAAACAAACCTTGCTGACGGATGAGAGATATATGGAACTCAACAAAATGGTATGGAGTACTGACTATCAAAGTCACCTGCCAACATTTTTCGACAAGATGAATCAAGCGGTACTGACTTAATTATACACTAATCCAATACGCCGTACGTGTGAACTCCGGTTGTCTAGCTGGTTGGTTGGTGTGTCTTCTAAGCCGCGTTCTCCATCATGGCCCTGAACTCTTGGAAGCTGATCCGGCCGTCGCCGTCGCCGTCGTGCGCCGCGATCATCCTGACGCAGTCGCCGTGCCGCGCGCCCTCCTCCATGCCCAGCCTCCGCAGCACGCTCCGCAGCTCCGCCGCGCTCACGTACCCGTCCCCGTCGCGGTCGAACACGCGCGGAACGCCTCCCGCAGGCCGCAGCTCGCCCTCCCCGGCCATCTTGCTCTCCGCCAGCTCTGCCACCTCCTCGCACGCGCCGCACGGCTCCTGATGATCGCCTTCCTCATCATCCTCGTCGGCGGCGACCAGGCCGAGGCTCGCCACGACCGCCGTGACGTCGTGGCGAGACAGCCGCGCCGCGGCGGCGGCGTCATCGTCCTCGCCGCCCCTTATCCGGTCAGCGCACCGCTCGCAACAACGCAGCCGCGGAGGCTGGACGACGGCGTCGCCAGCAGCAGCGGCCGCGCAGTAGCGATAGTCGTCGTCCTCGTCGACGACGTGCACGAGGAGGAGCGCGAGGCGAACGAGCGCGCGAGACACGGCGCGCACGCCTCTGCTAATGATCAGGAGAGACGACACCGACACGGCGAGACCGCGATCGATCGACGCCATCACCAGCTGCTGCCACATGTTAACAACCTCAATTCGATCGGTGGATCCAGTACTGATCGATCAACTGGTTAGTCCCAACAACTGCAGGCCTGTAGCTGGTAGACAACTTAATTTTTTTACCAAGTGGGACCCATCTTATTTTCTCTCATAGGTTTTAACCATTGTGGAGTTTATCATAGCTAATGCTTTCTGCACATTAGTGCCCATTGTTACATATACATTGAGGATGCCCTCATGCGGACTGTTTTTGCGTAAAAAAAAACATTAATTATGTTCAATCCCAATAAAGCAACGACAGAAGCGAGATATTTAAGCTCCGTAAAGTATTTAAATCCGTATCCTGCTTCCGGTTCCGGGTCTCCCCAAACATTCATGCGGACTGATTTTGTGTACAACTAAAAAAACATTAATTATGTTCAATCCCAAGAAAGCAACGACAGAAGCAAGATATTTAAGCTCCGAAAAGATTTTAAATCCGTATCCTGCTTCCGGTTCCGGGTCTCCCAGATGGAAAAAAGAAGTGTATAGGTACAAACGACAAATTGAGAAAAAACTAGAGTCAACACTAAAAATATAACTTGTTCATGAGACCATAACAAGATGTAACATGATTTATGTCGAATACTAATATACAAATATGCATATTTGATGATTTATGGAATGCTCATATGTAAGTAGGTAGATTTAACATAAACAATTAAGATCAAAGTGTTACGTAGAATCAAAATATATACATGGTGTGCTGGCATACCACGAGTACAATCTTATAACAGTTATATTCTGGTTCTCCAGGGCCGTGCATAATGTGGATTGATTGTGTCTATAATTAAAAACCCTGAGTTTATTCCCATGACAAAAGCTCCTACACCTGCTATTACAAATATTCCATCTACAATTAGTGAGACACCCAAATAATCAATAATATCTCCACATCTCCGATCGTGGCAAACTCCTCCAACTATGTATCGATCGTACCAAATTCCTCCAACTATGCAAGCGAGATATCCAAGTTCCGCAAAGACTCTACCTCCGCATCCTGCATCCGGGTCTCCCAATCGAGGCATCCTATGAAAGATAAAAAAAATTAAATTTCACACAACTACACATTTTTACCAAACTATTATGAAACTACATATTTAACATTTTGTAAAAAACTACTGATTTAATGCAAAATTTCTCATAAAACTACGTATGTAAGATGGAGTGTCAAAAAAAAATAAAGACTAGATGATAAATTTATCCCAAACTACAGGTTTATTGCTAATTTAATCACAACACTACTAATTTATAGCTCAAACATAACGGTAGCGTTGGAGATAAACTCTACAGTATTTAGTTTTGTTTTGTGATAACTTCAATATTTTTTTAATTACACAGCTGATGCAACACGCACATACACCACTACACACGCAACACCACACTCATACCCTCGTGAATGTGTCCCTTAACACATGCTCTAAGATACGGAAATCAACGACATGACATATCCTTGATTTCACTAAAATCCAATTGAAACTTTAATATTGAATATATAGTTTTGTGATAGGTTGGTCAAAATTTTGTGAAATTTACTTAGAAAAAAGGTATATGTACAGATAAGCGTGTAAACAAATACTAGTGTGATTATGTTATATTCATGCAGTGATCGTGTAAGTGATGCCGCTTCCAAATTCCAACACGTCAATCATCTTAACTACATCGATTTATCTTAAATACGAAGGTAGATGATGTTGCTATATATTTATCGATAAATTTTATTTTAAAAATTTGTCAAATTTACTACATTATAGCGTATAGTTGTAATGTAGTTATATTACAGCTTACGTATAACTACGATATAATTTGTATGTAGCTTCTATATAATTTTGAATCATTATATTTGTTTCAAAATTCATATTAGCGGAGAACGAAAACATCACAATGCTAGTATAGGTGAGGGGATTCCGGCAGACAACCTCCGTTTCGCGAAAGTAGCGTGTTGTGTGGTATTTTTAAAGTTATGTACAAATTATGTTGTATTTTTATAAAATTTAAAATATAATCACGATACAATTGTATCATATTCACATTATAAATTTTTGAAAAAAAAAAAATTATTACCAACGAACGAGTAATCGCAAGATAAATTATCCCTAAAATTGAAACAAAGAACAACGAGAAGGGTATAGCCGTCAGATCCACGAGCTAACCTTGTTGCGAGGAAAAAAGGCTGGCGATGCGGTGGCGATGCAGCGACGATCGGCGGAGGCGACAGAAGAGAGGAACCGACAAGCCGTGGTGTATACTATACTACGTACGTGTTAATTAGGCAGCCAGCCGGTGCAGGGAAGGCTGCAGCATATATAGGCCGTATGGACTATAGAGTCCATTGACAAGTCCATATCGGACTCGAGCCGTAACCCATACTTTGTATAGGTTGGTAATCTGGAGATTGGGGATTAATCAGTTTTGACATTGCTTTACCTATTTACTGTGAACTAAGGATGACCGTGCGATTCTCGCTGCTGCTCCACCTGCGCCGCATGATCTCAACGGTGGTGACGCTGTCTACTCCAGTTGAAGGCTCGCCGCTCAAGTTCCACCCGGACCTCAACAAGGAGGTGGTGCGTGCCACAGCCGCCCCCGAACCTTGCTACCTCCTTGCGTTTCACTGAATGTTTGTGTTTGATGTTGTGTCAGCGTAGCCCAATGCGCAAGAGAAATTTCTGCGGATCAAGCATGCGTACAACACGCTCATGAATTCAGAGAGCCGGTTCAAGTACGCGAGCACTAGCTAGCAGCAACCCAGATTATTCGTCCAGGACATACGATGAATAAGACCCATTCTACGGCTGCATTAATGAACCGTACTCCATTATGGTTTCTGTGGTTAGGAATTTCGTGCTAGTGAGTAGTAAAATGAAGTTTCAAGAGAGATCATTTCTGCTAAGAAACAACTGGTAGATTAGATCACATTATAATCCTTGTATTTTGAAACTTCAGTACCTACAGGGAACTCTAGGGTGTGTAGTTACTAGATAGTTGAACTAAAAATGTTCCATTAGTTGGCATTTATACTGTGGTCATGGTTCTGCAGGGGATTTCCTTAGGCCATCCCTAACTTAGAAACTATCAAGTAGTTTACATATTGGCAACATATTCTATGCACACAGGCCCTCACGTGTACACACGTGCACACCAACTAAAAAATGTCACCAAAAAATCTAGAAAAAATCATACACATACTTTCAATTGTATTACACCTAGGGTTAAAATCTTAACGTCAAATTCATTATATTTTAGCCGTAACAAAAAAACAAAAAATCTGACAGTTTTAAGGTTGCAATTTTGTCATAATTTTATCTTTTTTTTATTCTCTATGTAGAATGAATTTGAAGATGCGACTTTGCACGTAGATGTAATACTATTGAAAGTACATGTATAAATTTTCCTAGAATTTTTTGTGATAATTTTTAGTTGGTATACACGGTGTGTACACGCGAGGGCCTGTATGCATAGGATACGCTCCCTTACATACTTACCATATCATATAGATACTATGTATACAATGGATGGTGTCTTCAAATTAAATTCTCATCCAATCATCTTTCTTCTCTCTCCTTTTATTCACCTATCCTTTTGTTTTTATTCTTGGTAGTTGTGTAGAGATGGTTTCTTGCATGAGAAATGGTTTTTTCATCTTTTTATCTCTCTCCTCATTAACTCTCTTGTCACATAGGATTTTTGCTTATGTGGCAATGTATTTAATGCAATGGAAACTAGATGATATGGAGGGTTGGGGACAGCCTTAGAGACCTTCAAGCTGAATTTCAGAACTGGGAAGCCGGTCTGAATTCAGAACAGAAACCTAAAAGCTTGTGGGAAGAGTTGGCAGTAAGTTCTTTACTTTTCTTTGTTCCACTGTATTATTGTAAACATCTACTGTTGGGAGTGAACACTAATCAATAGTACATAAATGCTGCAATTTATAATCATGCCTATGATCGTTGGTGGTAATCTCCCATTAATCATATTACATTCTGGTCAATGAGGCCATTGGTGAGGAATTCGTTGAGTTTCTCGAGAACGAACTCAAGATTGATGACTCAAGTGCCGCGGAAGTCGATGCAAATGATCCATACACACAGTCTGGAGGCAAAAACAAGCAAGATGGTAATACTAATACTAATACATCGACAAGTAGCTTTGATGATAGCGTATCTGAGATAGCGGTTGCTTTGGAGAATCTGAAGAAGGAGCTCATGGTCCTCGGGCACGAAGTGGCCGCCCGGCGGCGGGACGCCGTGCTTGTTCATCCCCTTCTCGTCTTCCCCCATCTCCCGGTGCATGCTCCCGCCACGCTCGTTCGATCGGCCGGGCTCGGACGACGGGAGGCCGAGAGGGTGTCCCGACACGGCGGCGGCGGCGGCGACCCGAGCTAGTCGTCGGGGATGGATCCGATTGGGGTGGAGAAAAAGGGAACGCGGCGAGACGAAAGCTCGTTTCGAGGTCGCCGTCGCGGCCGCGTGCTCCGAGCTTTGTGGCCACGGCGTATCACGGAGTGGCGAGGCGACTCGAGCTGTCCAGCTGGCGGAATGGGGGAGAAGTAGGAAGCGTACGACGCAAGAAGGCCGCTATTCCAATCTCAGGCCGTTGTTCTATTTATAGGCCGTTAATCTGGGCTCGACAAGTGCTTACGGCCAGCAAAGTCAGCCCTCCACTGCCTGTTTCTTTGCTACTAGAAAAAAAAGGTGATCTATATAATCTTCTTTAATCAAATTAATCTAGTCATTAATTTATTCGCTGCTATCTTTATGGTTATTATCTTTATGGTTATTGAGATTTTAAAATCGAGTATGATTATCGTTGGAGTTCTTTTTTTACTTTTTAGAAATACCGAACCTCTGAGGAGGCATGGTCGTGGACTCGTCGTTGCATATGAAATAATGGAAGACACAAATGGCAACTCCACCCGGTGGAGTTGTAGTCAACTACAGGGGATCCGAAATTCCGAACCCCATGCAACTACATTATGACATGGCTCCAGTGTGAGGAAAAGCTACCCCAAATCAGTGACGCAGAGCGGCAGAGAGCCAATTCAACTCATGCAAAAAGCAAGTATATAGCTGGAGCCTTTTAACACCGGAACATGTCGTTCAAAAAATTTTGAAAAAACTTTAGTAGAATAGATCAATATGTGATATATCTTTTCGTAAACATACGTGTTAAAATTCGACTTAAACAATTCAAAACAGAAATAACAAATTTGACTGTGAATTACACGTTCTATTTATAGTCAAATTTATTATTTTTGTTTCTACTTGTATAAGTTGAATTTTAATTTGCATGCTTGTGAAGTGACATATCACATATTAATCTATCTTACTACATATTTTTTATTTTTTTTATGACTTTTTAGGTGACATGCAAATATGAGAGAATATCCCTTGAGGGATGAATTGAGTTTTCCTTTTAACAGCAGCAAACCACAGTCATAAAGCAACAATGGATCATTACGATAACTTGTAATTGTAGATCAGCATTGCAGTCTCACGTAGAACAAGTAAAGTAGTACTAATAACCAACGGGCAGAAAAAGTATGAAGTTGATTACTTGAACACCAGTACGAATTTGGACGAAATTTGTCGGCCCAGATCAAAACCAGCTAAGCAAGTAAAGCAGTCGGGGGATCTGAAAATTGCAATGCTCAAATCGGAGCCTTTGCCGTCACCTGAATAACTGATACGCATCGCAGGGTCTTTGCCGTCACCTGCACCGGCGGCACGGCCGTCGTCGTCATCGTCATCCTCGAGCACGGCAGGCGCGGCCGCCACCGAGGAGGAGCCCTGCTGCGTGTTGCGCTCTCCTCGTCCTCAGGCCCGACGACGACGCCGGATGCGAAGACGTGCTCCGTTCCCTGCGGCGTCGGCGGCGGCGGGTGGCGCTGAAGTGTTGGTTGATCCGGCGTGATCGGTGGCGCCGCCGCGACATCGTAGGGGTATCATTGATTCATTGGCTCCATCCTGGCTGGATGTACGACGGCGCATACGCATACGCCTGTGAGGTCGCGTACTGGTAGTAGTCCGTCGCCGACGCTTGTCCACGTTGGTTCGTGCTCTCGCCACCGTTCGCGGCGAGGTGTCCCTCCCGGCTCTCGCCGTTCGCTTGAAACCTTGGCGAAAGTTCAGAAAAAAAAAGTTGTACGAGTCAAGAACTCAAGATCGCACAAGTTGCATCCAAATCAGACCAAACAATTCGATCATCACAAGAAGATACAACATGGTGAATACCTCGTTGTCGGGGCCGATGATTCTGATGAACTCGTGCATGCCCCAGTTGGTCCTGACTCCCTTGACGTAGAACTCCAGCACGCGGATGGTCTCCGACTGCGCGGAGAAGAGGCCGAGCTTGAACACCCCGACGTGGCCTTCGACGTATCTGTCGTCGTCGAACGGCGCCGCGCCACCAGCGCCACACGAGTCTTCGCCGACGCCCACGCGGCGCGCCGCCACGACGATGTCGACCACGTCGGACACCGCCTTCGTGTCGTGTCCCCCCCTCGTCCACCGTTCTTGTTCCCCGGTCAGGAACGCCGGATATTGTCGATGCGCGAAGCCTCCATGCGCAGGGTGAGCGTCGTGACGCGGAGCGGAGGAAGGCGTGGCGGCAGGAGGAGAACCCGGTGACGCGGACGGCGAGGTTGACGGCGCCAGAGCGAGCGCCAGCGCGTCGAGGTGGCCTTTCTCCTGCCAGCCCCCGGCACCCTCTTCTGCGGCGGCCGCCGCCGCCACGTGGCCCACTCCCACCACCGCGTGGGGCTTAGAGGAGAGGAGGCAGAGCGTGAGGCGCGGCGAGGAGGCCCAGCCAGAGGCCGACGAACCTCACGCCGAGACCGAACTAGAGCACGACCGCTATGGGCATGCTCACGCTGAGGTCGACTTGCGCGGCGCGCGCCGGTCGCACGCTACCCGGATCACCCCACAGCCGACGGTCTGCGGGCAGCTGCCAAGCTCGCAGAGCCTCGCGGCCTCGCCACCGGAAGAGTCGCCCCCACGCGTGGCGCATCCCCGCCGCGAACGGCATGGCGGCCAGCCCCATCGTGGCGCCGTAGAGCTTGGCGGTGTGGAAGTCGAGGATACGCGCTTCGTGGAAGACGGCGTCGTGCGCACGGTCGAGCGGGGCGCCGCGGAGCTTGTCGTCGGGGATGTCGAGGAGCTCCTGGTCCTCGGGAACGAAGCGGAAGCCGAGCGGGAACCCATGCTTGTTCTTCCCGGCCATCTTCTCTTCCCCATCTTCCGGCGACGCCATGCCGGCCTCGCCCCATCGATCGATGATCGATCGGCCGTCCTCGGAGAACGGGAGGAAGTCGCGTCACGGTGGCCGGGTGGCGCGCGCTGCGGCGCCGGCGACCGAGCTATTCGTCGGGGTTGGAGCCGTGGCCCATGGGGAGGACGCGGCGAGACGGGAGCTCGTGTCTATGTCGCGTCGCGTCGCGCACGCGTGCTACTGCTATGTACTAGTACCTCGTCCCCTAATACTAAGGGATATTCAATATTTTCTTACGATGTTTGAATGCTCGTCTTATTCAAAAAATTTATATAAATATTAAAAACAAAAAATTATTTTAAAAGTATTTTGAATAATAAAGTAAGTCACAAATAAAATAAAAAATAATTCTAAAATTTTTTGAATAAGACGAATGATAAAATAGTGCAAGTAAAACTTATATTAAATGATAGAGGGAGTAGTACTCTCTGCTCTGGGCTTTCGCGGAGTAACAGGAGCGGCGTTTCGATGATAAGACGGAACACGATTTGACAAATTTTATTCTATTTTTCCTTTTTTAACGTTTTTTTATACTTATTATTGTTTTTTTCATTGCATTATAAGATGTCCATTTTTTGAATCGAGATGTCTTCGTATATAAGCCCCCGTCACCGGTGCTCTGCTTCTTCTTCCAGGCCATTCTCTCCCCCTCCCTCCCCCTCTCCCTCTCTCTCTCTCTCAGCCTAAACCATGGCTGCTCGCCGGACTTCCAAAATATTCGAGCAAGACAGCGAGTTGAGGAAAGCGCTTCTCAACAGCGTTGATCATTTCTACAACAAGGTAATCAAGCCACTACTGGAGTCTGATGGCGGCGGTGGCGGCGGCGGCGGCGGCGGCGGCAGCGGCGGCGGTGGTGGCGGCGGCGGCGGCGGTGGTGGCGGCGGCGGCAGCGGCGGCGGCTGTGGCGGCGGCGGCGGCGGTGGCGGCGGCAGCAGCGGTGGCGGCGGCAGCGAGGTCCTGGAGCGCCGCGTTACCGAAGTGCTCCATGTGTACGGCCTTCCCGGCAAGCTCCCGGAGCTCCGCCTTCCCGGCGTGCTCCCGAAGCCGGAGCCCCGCCTTCCCGGCGAGCCCAAACCTCCGTCGTGGATGGTTTTCGTGGAAGCTCCCTTGCCGCCCCCAAGCTTGAGCTACGAAGATGGCGGGAACGGCGACTCCAACCACACCATCACCATGGTCGTCGCCGACGTCCACGCCGAGCCACCGCTTTCGGGGTGGTGGCTTGCACGAATACTATTGCGCTGGCGCCGGAAGATCGAGGAACTTCCACGCCATGTGATCTACGTGATCGGCGCTGCGGCGATCGTGGGCACAGGCTACATAATCTACTTGCTCGTCAAGCGGCGTCGTCGACCTCGAGATGCTCGTCCGCCTCTACCCGGGAATGGAGGCCAACCTCCACCTGGAGGTGACCATCCTCAAGCCCCTAAGCTCAAGCACCTTCCAGATGATAGAGCGGCTTCGGGTGGCGATGATGCAGAGTACGACGAGGATCAGGGCCCTGGCGACGGCGACGAGACAGGTGGTGAGGGAAGCGCTGCCTACGGCCTCCACGACATCGCCGCGTTTGCTGTCGCCTTCAGCAACTCGCCTACAGGGCCAACCCTGGTGAGCTTCTTCTCCATCTCCGGGAGGGATGGGTTTTGGGTGTTTTCTTTTTGTTTTTTAGAACTAAGATTTGGGCGTTCGTTGTGGATTTGAGGTTATATACGTTTGTGTTACGTTTGCCGTGAATTCAGTCTGGTTGGGATTGTGTTACTTTGCTGTGAATTCAGTCTGGTTGGGATTGTGTTACTTTGCTGTAAATTCAGGCAGTTGAGAATAACCCTGCCTTCCTCGCTCTCCAACAGATTAAAGTTGCCAGGGAGATCTGTAACAACAAGGTAGCAATGGTTTTCCTCACTGTGATCCTGGGAGAGAACCTCAATAAGAGAGTTTTGCTTTTCCAATACAATGTCATTCAGCTAATCAAACCTTATTGTCCATGTTATGCCAGTTTATATGCAAATAACTTCTCCTTTGTCTAACACAGGCTGTGCGCTTGTTACAGTTGCTGAATCCTGAGAAGTCCCACTTCAGTATCCCGTGGTTCGAGAGGCTGACAATCTTTGATGTCTGCCCCCGCCCCAACCTCGTCGAGAGCACTTCTGGAAGCCGTGATCTCCAGATGGTGAAATTCTGTCATTGCACTTGGAGTTTGTGATTTGCTAATGTTAGCAAACTTATGTTAAGTATTTTCTGAACTGCTTTGTTAAGTATTTTGAGCATGTTGGTGGTTTGGTACAGTGGTTTAGAACCAACATTTATGTGTGTGATTAGCATTGCAATGTATGTTATGCTTTGCCTGCAATGGTGGCAGTATACATTTTTAGTTTGATACAATTTGATAACTTAACAGGTGAGACCTGGTCTTGGTGTCCTTACAAGACCATTACCAACTAAGTACAGATCCCTGGGGGATAATTTCTGTGAGAGAGTTTTGACTTCACTTATGCATGAAACACTCAAAGCGGTGGTTGCACAGTACAATGCCAGTCAGCTTATCATACCCAGAGAAGTACTGTCTTATCATATCTATCTGTTTTTAAACATGTAATATCTTTCCATGGTATGCTATGCTATTTTAAGAGCTTTAGAAAAGAGTTCACTCATGCAATTGAAACCAAGCAGGTCGATGAACAAGAAGCTCAGCGTGCAAAGTTCATTGTTGAGAAGGCTGAACAACATAAGAGGAAGGCAGTCATTACAGAACAGGTAAGCAAAGATGCAATGAATTGTTGCTGGTTTAGATAGCTTTCCTTGATAACTTTACTACATCTAGTTTTAGTAACAATTATTAAGAAATATCAGTGGCGCTGTTTATTTCTTCATCGTTTCATATATTTCATTGTGTTTGGTGTGGGTTAATTCTGACTGTGAGGCCTGCTTGAACAGGGTGAAGCTAAGAGTGCATTGGTCGAGCCTGCAACTAGAAGAAGAAGAGCTCGGGATCTTTGAGAAGGTTAGAAAAAGAAAATGCATGATAGTTCTGAATATTGTTCTACTTTCTGCAATGTATGACTGCCACTGGTGCTACCATTTTGCAAATGCACCTACCTTCCTATGCTCTTAAGTTGGATCTAGTTGTACGCAGACTGAGTTCATTGGGTTTACTGTTTATATAGCAACATTGCAGTTTGCAACTGTAAATGCCCCGAATAGATAGAAGCCTGATCATGTGCTTGTGGTTTCTGTGACATGTGTTATACTACTGTCAACAGAGGGATTCTTGGCTCCCTTGAAACAGCAATGGAATTTTAGGAGACCAGTAATGTTGGATGTGCACTGGCTATTGCTTTTAATTAATCGAAGAGCTCATAATTTCCTTAAAAAATAGTTTCAAAGGGTCCATTGGTGGATGGTCACTGTGGCTATTGCTGTCTATTGGCCTAGAAAATCTTTTCTGATGCCTAGAAATGGAACTGGAAATCCAATACTTCTGAACTTCTTATCTTGGAAAATGACTATCGCATTTTTGCACAATTCTGGATGTGTGTGCACATTAATTGTAAACAAATGTACTTCTTGTCAGAAAGTTCTTTTAAATAGAAACAGTACTTCATTGTGAAAGTTCAGAATTGTTCTTTTTCCACTGCAATTTTAATTCTTGTTGATCTTGTTATTATTGCTAGTGTGGTAATTTCGTTTTACCACTGTTTTCTTTGACAGGTCCAGGAAGTAGAAGTATCAAAAGAATTTGGATGGTGGGTCATTTTTTGTAGCAGAGGAAGAAGTAGAAAATTCTGAGAAGAGTTTGATGTCTAGTTCGACGTGGTTCTTTTCTTTTCAGTAGTAGTTGGCTATTGCAGGTTACATATCTGACTAGATGCAGTCACGGTTCTCCAGTGATCCTGGATGTAGGTTTCACCACCACCGAGGAAAACAATACAAGCCGAGATGAATTTAGTCTACTGAAGTAAATGACAGAGACCGTGTGTAGTTGCGTGATGTATTCATGAGTTTTGCTTCGCTTTTGAGAGAGAAGTGCATAATACGAAAGAGAATGAAAGATGTGGGAAATTGGTACAGAACTGGCCAGATGTATTGGTCATCATTTTGGAACCATTTTGACATAGCACTTATATCTTAAATTCAAATATTGCTGAAGCATAAGTGCTGTTCTGGGGAATCTTCAATTTCGCTTGGTGTCGTTCTTGCAGGGATTGCTACCTGCATGTTGTTCCAAACTGATTTATGAAATTTTGTCATGGTGATGGTACTTTGCCGTATTATCATTGCTGGATTGAGGGTTATCTCATCATAAACCATTGGCAATCTATCCATAATACTCCCTCCGTTTCAGGTTTCAAGACGTTTTGACTTTGGTTAAAGTCAAACTACTTTTAAATTTGACTAAGTTTATAAACAAATATAGTAAAATTTATAATACCAAATTAGTTTTACTAAATCAATAATTGAATATATATTTTCATAATAAATTTGTCTTGGATTGAAAATATTTTTTTTTTCTATAAATTTACTCAAACTTAAAGCAGAGTCAAAACTTCATGTAACCTAAAACGAAGTTAGTAATATAAAAGGGAAGAGGAGTTTCTACGTTGCAATCCTACGGTAGAATCAGCAGTACCCCAGGCCCCACCGATGCGTGAATCTATCCATCCATCAATGGCGCACATAAAGTTGCTATCTATTTCTCAACCATTCGATCATTGTATCCAACGGTTCAGATCGGAAAATCCACGATGTGCGTTGGAATGCAACAGCAAACTCACGCATTCATTCCCTCTCGCAAATACTGCGCGGTCTCCCTCCCCGGAATCTCGCCCGCGCATCATGCCACGTAATCGAGGGACGCGGAGGTGGTTGGTCTGTGGCCTCTGCTGCGCCTGCGCCTGCGCCATGCGCCTCCTCCTCCGCTACCGCCCACCGGCTGCGCCATTCTAGCCGTGGCCTGATCGGTGCGCGCAGGTCCGCCTGCTCGATCGAGTTCGACGAGCACGTCGAGCTCTTGAGATAGGATGCGACAAGGCGGCAGGCGCTGCATCTTCCGCGCCTTTCGATCCAATTCCTCGCCGCCGCGCACCCCGTGCAGGTCGGCGAACAAGGCCAGCGAGCGAGCGAATAGGCCGTGCGTTGGCGGCTCGGCGCGACTGAGCACAACAGGTCCCTGCAATGCAAGCAGCCGCCATCTCGGCGAGGTCGACCGCCAAGAGTTTCGCGTCCTCAAGGTGGATTCCCTACGCGCGGATCGGAGACGCTCTTCCATGCTTGCGCTGCTGACTCCTCTTTTATGCTTGCGTTGTCGTCGGCCACGAGCAACTAAGAAATCCTCACCGTCGTCGCCGAGCATTCCTTGCCGTCATGGCGTCATGCTTGCGCTGCTGTCTCGCTGATGGGCTGAAGATGGATGGGTCACTCATCACAGTCTGACAAGTATGAATAGCTGAAGATCCACCGGGCAATTTTCTTTTTTGCCCCCATCACATTCAACATTTGAATACATATGTATGGACTGGAGTATTAAATATTAACAAACAAAAAACTAATTACACAGTTTATATGTAAATTGCGAGATAAATCTTTTAAGCCTAATTGCGCCATGATCTGATAATGTGGTGCTACATTAAACATTTGCTAATGACGAATTAATTATGCTTAATAAATTCGTCTTGCAGTTTACATGCGGATTATATAATTTGTTTTGTTATTAGTCTACGTTTAATACTTCAAATGTGTGTCCGTATATGATCTGATGTGATCCGGCAAATTTTTTGCCGGTAGAACTAAACACAGCCCAATTTTTTTGAGCATTCCATAAATTATGTTAAATCCCAAGAAAGCAACGACAGAAGCGAGATCTTTAAGCACCGAAAAGATTTTAAATCCGTATCTGCTTCCGGTTCCGGGTCTCCCAGATGGAAAAAAGAAGTGTATAGGTACAAACGACAAATTGAGAAAAAACTAGAGTCAACACTAAAAATATAACTTGTTCATGAGACCATAACAAGATGTAACATGATTTATATCGAATACTAATATACAAATATGCATATTTGATGATTTATGGAATGCTCATATGTAAGTATGCAGATTTAACATAAACAATTAAGATCAAAGTGTTACGTAGAATCAAAATATATACATGGTGTACTGGCATACCACGAGTACAATCTTATAACAGTTATATTCTGATTCTCCAGGGCCGTGCATAATGTGGATTGATTGTATCTATAATTAAAAACCCTGAGTTTATTCCCATGACAGAAGCTCCTACACCTGCTATTACAAATATTCCACCTACAATTAGTGAGGCACCCAAATAATCAATAATATCTCCACATCTCCGATCGTGGCAAACTCCTCCAACTATGCATCGATCGTACCAAATTCCTCCAACTATGCAAGTGAGATATTGCATCGATCGTACCAAATTCCTCCAACTATGCAAGCGAGATATCCAAGTTCCACAAAGACTCTACCTCCGCATCCTGCATCCGGGTCTCCCAATCGAGGCATCCTATGAAAGATAAAAAGATTAAATTTCACACAACTACATATTTTTACCAAACTATTGTAAAACTACATATCTAACATTTTGTAAAAAAAACTATAGATTTAATGCAAAATTTCTCATAAAACTATATATGATGATGGAGTGTCAAAAAATAAATACTAGATGATAAATTTATCACAAACTATAGGTTTAGTGCTAATTTAATCACAACACTACTATATTTATAGCTCAAACATAACGGTAGTGTTGGAGATAAACTCTACAGTATTTAGTTTTGTGATAACTTCAATATTTTTTTAATTAGACATCTGATGAACACGCACGCACACCACTACACACGCAACACCACACTCACCCTCGTGAATGTATCCTCTAACACATGCTCTAAGAGACAGAAACCAGCGACACATCCTTGATTTCACTAAACTCTACAGTATTTAGTTTTGTGATAACTTCAATATTTTTTTTAATTAGACATCTGATGAACACGCGCACACACCACTACACACGCAACACCACACTCACACCCTCGTGAATGTGTCCTCTAACACATGCTCTAACAGACGGAAACCAGCAACACATTCTTGATTTCACTAAAATCCAATTGAACTTTAATATAAAATATAAAATATATAGTTTTGCGAGAGATTATTCAAAATTTTGTGGATTTTACTTGGAAAAAATGTATAGGTACATATAAGCGTGTAAACAAATACTAGCGTGATTATGTTATATTCGTGCAGTGACCGTGTAATTGACGCCGCTTCCAAATTCCAACACGGTCAATTATCTTAACTACATCGATTTATCTTAATGACAAAGGTAAATGAGGTTGCTATATATTTATCGATAAATTTTATTTTGAAAATTTATCAAATTTACTAATTATATCGTATAGTTGTAAAGTAGTAATATTACAGTTTACATATAACTATAGTGTAATTTATATATAGCTTTTATTCAATTTCGAATCATTATATTTGTTTCAAAATTCATATTAGCGGAGAACGAAAACATCACAATGCTAGTATAGGTGAGGGGATTCCGGCAGACAACCTCCGTTTCGCGAAAGTGCCGTGTTGTGTCATATTTTTAAAGTTATGTATAAATAATTTAGTACTATGAATATTACTATATTTATATATAAATAAAGTTAAACTTAAAACAGTTTAACTTGAAACTTCTTATAAGTATCAAACAAATATAATGAGTGATGTTTCAAACCAAAGCTTTGACCCCTAGACTGAATTTCTGTGTCGTGTGTTTCGCGCGGAAAGTTGGTGCGCGTGGAGAGTTGGTGAATAGTACAAATTGTGTTGTCCTAGCCCAATGCGCTATGGCTTGAGTCCTATATCGAGTTGTCAATGGAACTTTATAGTCCATACGGTGTAACACCCTGAAAATTCGACTAACGAAATCAAAACACCAAAAATACAGATTTTCAAAAACTTTTTAAGTAATAAATTGCATCATACCGATTTTATTCGCCTATTTCATTGGATTTTGATCTCGGAATTTATTAATCGCGAATAATGAATAACTAACTAGGAATAAACCCTAAAAATCAAGTTGGCTAAATAAATAATTAAAATATAAATTAAAATAAAGATTAGGTGGGATTGGAAATAAATAAAATATTATCGCGACCATATTAGCAATAATTAAATTTTAGTACGATGGAATGAGAATTAACCCTAATTAAAAATTCAAATAAATTATATAAACAAAATATGAGTGATATTAAATTAGGGTGAATTTTTAGTTAGTATAAAACAAATATGGAGTAAACTTCATTTATGCAAAAGTTAGAATTGATAGGGCTATATTTAAATAGAAAATGAGCTAAAATCGGGATAAATAGGAAAAGTTACTGTTTATTGCGGCATAGGTATTCGATCGTGGTCCCCCTGGCCCCGCTCCCTTCCCTGCCGCGTGCGCCGCGTCGCCCGCCCGTCGCGCGCGCCGCCGCTGTTGCCGCGCCGTCACCGTCGCGTCGCCCTCGGCCTCGCGCCTTGTGCTGCCGCGCGCCCGTCCTCTCGCGCCTGCGCCCCGCCGCGCGGCCGTCCCCTCGTCGTCACCTTGCGCCGCTGCCGCGCCGCCCATTCCATCGCGCCGAGCCCCGTGCCGCCGCGCGCGTCGCGTCGCCCCGCCTGTCACGCCGCTCGCTCGCCACCCGCCGCGTCGCCGTCCCATCGCCGCGCGCCGTCACCATCGCCGCGTCGAGCCCCACGCCACCCGTCGCGTCGCCCGTCTCGAGCCCCGCACCGCCGCCCGTCGCATCGCCGCTCCGAGCCCCGCGCCGCCATCGCGTCGCCGCCCGCGCGTCGCCGTCGTCCCGCCCCGAGCGCCGCCGTCGCGTCGCCATTACGCCGCCGCCCCTCCCCCTCTCCTTCTCCCCTCTCTACAAATACCCCCCCTCTCTCCATTTTCCCCCACCCCATCTCACCCTTCCTTCCCTCATCCCTCTCCACTGCGCCGCCGCTCTCGTGCTGCCGCGCCGCCGTTCCCGTGCCGCCGCGCCGCCGCTCCCGCGCCGCCGTGCGCCACCGTCGCTGCCGCCGTCGTCGCCGCTGCTGCCGCCGATGAGCCGC